ATTAAAATCAGAATGCTACAAACAAAATAAGCAGACACAAATACAACATACTTAAGTAAAGTAACATTTGCCAACTTATCAATTCCCGTCCTTGGTTATATGGACACAATTGAAGACGACTATTGCGCACTGCGACTGTTAATACAATTCAACAAACAATGAAAAAGGACCTAAATTTCCTACATTCGCCTAAGGTATTCATATTTTCAATACTTTAGGCGAATGTAAGATATGTATTTTTATTAAATAAAAATTGATTTTGTTTCTAAAGTTTTTACTTTAAAAATAGATGACGTAGCTACGACATAATATGTAGTACATGCATCGACGTAGTAGACGACAAATGGGAGCAGATTATAAGGTATTTTTTAGATATTCTGGGGAAATTGACAATTTTTAGGGTTCTGTATCTCAAATGGAAAAGACGGAACCCTTATACGATCACTTTGGTGACTGTGTATCCGTCCAGCTGTCTGTTAAGACCCCCCATCTCAAGAAAGCGTGCAGGTATAGAGTTGAAGTTTTATACCATATAGGTACTTACTCAGGTTTACAGCTGTGAAACGCTGAAAGTTAGGTTTGGAAAGTTAGACAGAAAAATTACGAAATCAATTTTTGCCTATTAGGTTGAGCAGCAATTGGCTTACTTTTTCAATATTTCATCGGACAGAAAAACCACTGTCGGTCCCGTTAATTGTATATATTTAAAAACTACTGTCTTACTGGGTAGGTATATACTTTGTGAATCCTAGAGAGGTCCTGACTCCTGCCTGACAACTCATTTCCAGTTGTAAGTAACGTCGTTTCCCACTGATCTGTAGGTCAGATCATTTAGCCTAGCTAATAGTTGGAGCACCCACAGTTGCTGGAGGTGTAATAGCATTATTGTTACCGCCTCCGCATAGCTGAAGTGATAAATGAATTTGATTCTGTTAGTATTGTCTACGGGATTTATGTTCCATTTCAAGGTCTGTTCAAATGTTCCTAGATATAAATTATTAGCATTTGTTTAAAATCATGTAAGTAGTAGGTAGGTACCTTCTTATAATATTGTGCTACGACCATGAGCGCGGCGGTTCCGTACTTTGTGCTACGATTACTTAATGCCAACGATGCCAGTTTACTTAAAGTTGATGTTAGTACATAGTTTCTTTACGATTACAAATAAAAAAGACAACACGTGGCTTAAGGAAGCATTATTTTAATTGTTACTGCTACCGATACCGCTTAAATCGGTTATATCTACGTTCAAGAAGTCGCGGGCATATTTACTTTCAATTTCAGTTTCGAAATTACACGTCGTCGTGTTACAGACAACAGTTATTGAGTAAATATGGCTAGCTATAGGCATTGGTGCAATGCAAATATTTGACATTAAAATGGTCTCGAATTTTTCCTTAGATTATTTTTCCTTAACCTTTTCAAGTAAAGAATCAGAACCGACTATCATCTCAGCTGATGTTTACTAGAAGTTTTGCTGCAAAACGCTTCGTTCACAAGGCCAATGATGTAATTGCTACTTTTAGCACTCAAACACCACGAATGTACTATGATAGATAGACATTTTTGTATTTGGTTATTTTTGTATGACATCACTCACACTAGCCTGATCGTGTTACTAGCTTGCAGCATGGCCCTGGCATAATATTTAATGTAATAGACTGGAATATTGTTATGTAGGTAGGTGTGTCACCTAATATTTCCGGGATTAAAAGACAAAATAGCTTAGTAAATTGGCCTTGCCAAATTTGTATGTAAGTAGGTAGACAGAAGGCGTTACAGATAATCAAATGGTTTATTTAAGAACGACTGAAATACTGAATCTAATGCTGGAGCAATGGATAAATAAATGGAACTGCAAGTCCAGATATAAGTAGGTATAACTACATAACTATTCTATACCTTACAGAAGGATGTACTGTAACCAAACAACATTAAGGTAGCTAACTAAGCACTAATCAGTGCATAGGAGCGGGGAAATGTCCTCGGGAGGAAATATCCCTCTTGATATTAGTGCAGGCACATATAAGCTGTTACCACCAGTTGAGCCCTTTTGTTGGGTTTTCACCTTAAGAAACTATGTAACTACTTCCAAGTAAAATAAAAAATAATGGGTTACGACTAGGCCGGCCTATTTAATGGGAAAATATACTTATCTACCTGTTACTTAATAAATAAATATGCATTTTATATGTTCTTAACTGCTTTTGAATAAATGTATTTATTTAGAAGAAATAAAGAAGTAATTTCTCTTATTGATTAGAGAATCTCAAAAGAATATTTAAGAAAAAATACTTATAATAAAAAATAATATTAAGTAAGTAAAAATACTTAAGTAAAATATCAGCTGCCGATTCCTTATTTGAATCATCTAATACTTACAATCATAGCTGGCATGTTAGTACGTAAGTACTTACCTTCCTACCAAACTAGCACACTGGCTGTATAGAACAGTGATATAACAACCGTTTAATGGAAACTGGTGACGGCTTCAGCTGTATAAAGAAGCTCTACAGTATTTGTATAAGCGGCGACAGAGCTTTTGTACCTTCAAAGTGGGCATAAAATATACAGCTTACAACTCTACAGGCGCTCTATAGTGGTCGTCTAAACGTTTTAATATGGCGATATAACAGCTCTTTAAGAGTGGAGGAATATACTTCCTTATCAAGAAGCTATTATAGCACGACTGTTCAACTTTGTATCTTTTTAATGTATGTTTACCATCTTTATCATTATACAATTGGTTTAGAATAGAAGTTTTATGTGAAAGAGTGACGAATAAAACATGACGAGATAATATACTTGGACCAATGCTATTTGCTGACGATCCTTCTTTAGTTTTTACATTGCACAGAGGCAGCAATTGCTCGGACGAGGTAAAAGTGCTCTTTCAAAAGTTTTGCAATGGTTTACGTCGTGTTAATGGGAAAACCAACTACCATAAAAACAAATAAGGCTTTTGACTGAAAATAAAACAGCAAGATTAGTATACTTAAGTTATTTTCATAGTGTGATGTCCTATGGCCTACTGTTATGGGTTTAAGCTGCAAATATGGAAAGCATTTTTATACTACAGAAAAGAGAAATTGTGGCCACATACAATTTGAGACCAAGGGATTCCCTTAGGGATAAATTTAAAGAAATTAAGAATTTAACGTTGGCGGGACGGTACATTTATGAGAATAAGTATAATTAATATACATAAACACTATAGTAATTTTATTAATATTCATAAATTAAACACAAGAAATAAAAATAATTAAATAATAATAATAAATAAATAAACTCATAACTCATCTTTAGGGAAATTTGTAGCTTTTTATAATAAGTTACCACCTTACCACACAATATAGTTAGTCTACCTCTTCATAGACTAAAAACACATGTTAAAAATACTTTAATGAGCAAATGATTGAATTGAATGTGTCCAAGATTACTGTGAAGATTACTTGAATGATCTGTCTGTCTTGAATGAAGTGTCTGGGACACATATAACTTCGTGGTCTGGGAATAAAGAACACTTCGCTGATTGAAGTAAGCTAAGTTCTGTCAGCAAATTTAAATATAGCTGTGTAACACATAATTATATTATAATAATTAATTGTATTGGTAACGACATGATTTTATGTAAATGTTGCAACTTCTGTTGATGCTGATAAGTTTCTTGCGTCTATTCTCCTTGGCTAAATGATGTCCTGAATGGGTGGCTGAAAAAAAATATTGGATGATTCAAGAGAGCTTTCAATTTGAATAAAGTATATTTCCATTATTTGAATAAAGTATATTTCCATTTCATTTTATTACACATACTGTTTTTTCATATTATAATAAGTCGATTTTATAAACGTCGACGTCAGCGTATTTAATGATATTTTAGTGCAAGTGCCAAATTACTGTCAATATATGTGTACAAGTTTTATTGAAAATTTTCACGCGCCCACAATAAATGCTTATGGAATTTTAGGGTATTATATATATATATATATATATATATATATATATATATATATATATATATATATAAAACTCAAAGGTGACTGACTGACTGACATAGTGATCTATCAACGCACAGCCCAAACCACTGGACGAATCGGGCTGAAATTTGGCATGCAGGTAGATGTTATGACGTAGGCATCCGCTAAGAAAGGATTTTGATCAATTCTACCCCCAAGGGGATAAAATAGGGAATGAAAGTTTGTATGAAACTTTGTCAATTTTAAACCGATCGGGCTGAGACTTTGCATGCAGGTATAAGAAGAATCATAGATGAATGTCATTGTGTATAATACAAGCCTGAGAACAAAAACTGTAGTCTACACTTCAGTTCTACACCGAAGCGAAGCGAGGGCGGGCCGCTAGTTTGTTATATGATAAAAGTTTTTGTTATGTACCTTACAGTAATAATTGTCGTTAAAGTCAAAAAAATAACCATACAAATACACATGATTTTAAGTTACAATAACGTCTAATGGCGTCTCCTATTAGCAGCTTGTGACTCTCCACAATTTACGTTTTGCGGGCTTTAGATGTATAGTGACGGTAGTATTCTGTGCATTAGTGAATAAGGGTTTACAATACTGGTATATTAGGGTACAAATACCATTACAGATGTACTCCAGCTTTTTGTGAGCTTCTTGTAGGGTCCAAATCACTTTCAGGGACTAGACCCTAGACCTTTAATAAAATCTAATATATAATAATGTAAGGGTCTGACAGTCAATTTATGCAATTTTTTTTTAAAGAACCACGATCATTGGCATCGGTCATGGATTAAATTATAAGGAAGACAAGTATACTGCACCAAAATATCCTTTCAGGGTGAATGTTGCTCATTCTCGAATATTATCTTATAATAAGCATTAAGTTGTTTTCAAGATTTAGGTAGGCACGTTATTGGAAATTAGAACCCGAAGAAAGAAAAGAAGTTCAAATTTTATTAACATTAACTTACTATAATCGAAGATACTTTTGTGATTTTTTTATATATTTCGTTCCAGATTTGAAAACAATGTCGGAAGAGTCAGCGCAATCTGCCCAGGAGGCGGTAGAGCAGGTGACACAGGAGGTGAAGGACGTCAAGTTAGAGAACGGAGCATCGGCACCCAATGGAACGCCAGCCAAGGGCGAAGACAATGCTGTGCCCTTCAAGGTAAAAACGTTAATTCACATTCTAAACTTTTATAAATGCCTTGAAAGCTGCGACGCCAAAATACAGCATAGGTTATTGTAATTCAGTAGCTAGACAGTTTATCACCTAGATACTCAGCAAACCTTTGTATACGGACCTATACAGTACCTACTACAAGGTAAGATATGGCAAAAAACCTTGATAACACACTTATTAATAGCGTAGTTTAGGTTTGTTTTTCTAGAATGGCAAAAACAAATTGCCTGCCCATGGAATTTTACTGTACAAGGTACCTATCTAAGTACTTATAGTTATTATAGGTATATTAGGTATAAGTACGCTAAGTTGTTTCGTGTCAACTATAATGTTTTCTATATGTGTATTTAATATTAAATATCTTGGTATTTAATACAAATTCGATTATAAGAAATATCCTTTTTTTCGATTCCAACATACTTAGGTATTTACTAGGTACCTACGAACTCATCATATATTTTTCTTCGTTTTCCCCTCAATTTTTCTCTCCAACTGGTAGTAGGGTGGCATAAAATTTGCTAAAAACGTACGCAATTAACTTTCACTAAGTAGTTCCATTTTTAACCACCATTAATTTGCAGCAAACCTTGAACCAAATTTTACCAAGGGGTAAAATTGGGGTGAATGTTACAATAGCGTGTCTGAGTTTAGAATTTGGAAAAGGTGTTTCGAAGACAGCTTTCCAAAGAATACGTCAATTTTAAGTAGGTCGAGTAAATATGTGTACTTTCGTGGAATTTAAGGAATATAGGTATAAGTCGTGTCTAAGAATTAGCGCGCACTTGTGATTGTTTGATCTTCCGATTGTTTTATCGTTCTGAGATTCTTTTAAGACGACATTACCTTACTTCATAGCAGCACTATCTAACGGTTTGGCTTTGTCATAAGGTAAAGATACCTATCAATAAATGCCTATTATAATTCAACTTTTTAATGTTCTTTTACAGGATGCGTTCAAAGCATTTTCCAAGTTTGGCGATCCAAAATCGGACGGAAAGCATATAACTCTATCACAAAGTGACAAATGGATGAAGCAAGCAAAGGTAATAGACGGGAAGAAAATCACAACCACGGACACCGCCATACATTTCAAGAAACTAAAGTCGTTGAAAGTGGGGATTGAAGATTATCAGAAATTTCTCGATGACCTAGGCAAGAGTAAGAAAGTTGAATTAGAAGAAATAAAGCGAAAACTAACCACTTGTGGTCAGCCGGGAGTCTCAAGTCACGTAAGCTATTTTTTATATACACTTTTAATAAAGAAAGTGATTAGTTCCTAAACTTCCACATTAAGCTGTATTGAGTACCTATTACATTTTCGTATAAGTACTTGCCCTACCTATTGAAATAATATCTGTGGGTCGGAATTATATGGAAAACTATTTTGGGTTCAGTCTCGAGACTGAGCTTTTGTGGTTATTCTGTTGATGTTTCCAATATTTATTTAAATTTTTAGGTAGCGAAATCTCCGGCTGCTGCGGCTACTGTAGACCGCCTCACTGATACGAGCAAATACACAGGCTCCCATAGACAAAGGTTTGACGAGACCGGGAAAGGCAAAGGCATCGCCGGCAGAAAAGACCTCGTCGACGGTTCCGGTTACGTCTCCGGCTACCAACATAAGGACACTTACAATAAAAGTCATTAGATTGAATCCTCTCTCAAACTATCATCCAGGAAGAGTCAAGATATAGACAATTGCAAGACATTTACATTTTAAAGATAAAACTGCAGTTGGCGACGTTTGAATAATACGTAGGCTGTTCCGTCAGAGATCCCGAATAGGCGGACCATATGAAGCTTCTATTAATAAGTACCTACTTTAACAAGAATTCAAAAGGACAACTCACAAATAATATACCTCAGTATATTACAACATTGAAAAGCTGCAGAGCAACTTCTTCTCCAAAAAGTTATTTTTTTAAGGAAGTGATAAACCGTTTTTCCTAAAATAACAAAGTTATTGATGTAATTTACGTACCTAGGACATTATGAAATAATTATCAAAAACCCCTATATCTATACAGTTTATAGATATGGAGGTTTTCGATAATTGTTTAGATAGATACGGGATAAGCTGCCTACGATGCATGGGAATTTAATTCGGATTCGTCTAGAAAACCATGACATCAAATTAAAAACCATTCCATTTACTTGAAGAAGTCAACACAGTGAAAGTTAAATATTATGGCTCCCTAATACACATCGTTTTAACGGTAAAGCTTTATGGATAAAATATCAAGGGAGTCGTATAAAATGTCACGAATCAAGTTTTTCTCAATATTACAAAAGTGAGTCCGTGTATGTTCCAATACAACAATTAGCAATGTCTATTTCAATCATAGAAGAGTGTATAAGCAACACTACTTACAGATTCTTTTATGATTGGAATTGACTCCACGTAGGGGTATTCATATAGCTATGTTAGAATAAATAGCTTCCGTACAACGGCTATGATTTTTGCTTATCATCTTTTTTAGGGTACTGATATTAACTGAATACTTTTAACTTACCTTATAACTATGTTAATTCAGGAATATCGTCTGAAATTCTTGAAGTTTGAGGGTTATTTGACCAAATATGCTATTAAAATTTCATATTTCTAAAAGATCGTTTTAGCTCGATTTGAGCTTATTAAAAGATCATTCATTATTATAAATAATAGACATATTTCAAAAATCATTCCAGCTTCCCCAACCCCTATGTCTGAAATTCTTTCAATGTAAAAGTCTATTATATTATATTATACTATTGTAAGTATATAATTATTTATGAAACCGTGATCATTTTAATTACATAAAGATCAAGGTTTGTGTGTATCATTGATTATATTTACTGTACTAACTAGTAGCTGTAATAATCAGCATATTACTTAGTTTGAAATACTTAGAGCTTTGTGTGTTGTGGTACGTACGACATTCTTCATTCCAAATTATTTTAAAATTTGTATATTACGTCCATTGGTTAGTTAAAACCAACCTACCAAAATCTTATAGTAAAGTTTTGATGTCTAGTCCGTAGTTTAGTAGTCGGATGGCGTGGCTAGGTTCGACCCGAATAGGTCCTATAAATCCTAATAATGAAATTGCGAAAGTAAATTTTTAAAGTGATTTTTTTATTACATCGCCACATTTTTTTTCGTTTATCTGTAGCATGTCGCATTCCTTTTTTAATTGATATTCAAAAACTAAAACTATATCTTACCAAGAATCATCGGTGGCTCAGTGGCTGAATGCTCGTTTGCTACGACCGGATTCGATTCCCAGCCGAGGGATGACTTTACATTTCACATAAAATTATACCATTTTTTTGATGTTTACTTTTTACGCTTTCACCACTGAACCGATTAACTATTGATTATATATGAATTTTTGTAAAGAAAGAGACGAGACCCTTACCCTGGCGGTGGTTATAGGCTACTTTTTGTTGTGGTAATAATAATTTTATATGAAAAACCAATTAAACCACGCGCACGCAGACTACGCCGCAGGCACCTGCTAGTTGTTAGACCTTAATTGTACAATGTACCTATACCGTTAGTATGAGTAACTATTCGCACAGCATTAACTACTACGCCCCTGTTAAAGATCTCTAATAGCAATTTGACAAATTAGGTATTTACTTACTTACTATGGACAAGATTTTGATTAAGTGATGTTAAAATTAATCGGTATACTTTATCCAAAAGTTGAATAGAACTATGAACAAACTATTAAGTACAAATTCTGGTAATATACCGTCGCGAAAAATGTGGAAAATTTCTGCTGTTTTTTTTTAAATAATCTTGACCTTTCTCCTCTAACATGTATACAAATAGGTATTTGTTATTAATGTTATACTGAACTAGATATGTATCGGTGGTTTAACAGAAGATAAGAAATTGAAATGTAAACAAAATACTTTTATAAGTTTTTGTATTTTATCTGGAAAAGTAGAGCCCAGTTCTTTTTCACTTTGATTTAAGTATATGCACTGCTTTTTTTCACAAAATATTCAATGGGTAAAATAATAATATAATCAATAGTTATAGTTTATTTAAATAGTAAAGCAGCATTTTGACGCTTAGTAGTAAAGGACTCTACATTTAGTTTTTTGTCATTCTCCATTTCCGGTGTACTCACCCATGTATTGAAAGTACCCAAGTACCCATCAACAAAACATAATTCAATTTCCTTCTTCTGCAAAACTAAAGTTTAATATACCTAGTTTAGTAGGTACTTTTGTTATAGTTTTTGTTAAACTTTAAGTAATCATCTTAACATTATAGGAGGCAGCACTGTATTTTTACTTTAAAATTTCTCTTTATGTAATTCATTCGATACCTATTACCTACCTATCTACACGTATGAAATAAAATACAAAATTAAATGTACATTTCGTTATTTTATTAATAAACAAGTATTTTTACTTCAATTGTGTTTCACTGATAAGAACATACCTACATACATATATTTATGCTTTGTTACGGTAGTTTTTATTTAGGTACCCATTTAATAACTTATGTTCTGCTTCTATAATGAACACATTATGGATATTCCACTGCACCCGAGATATGACACAGCCAGGGACGCCATAGTAGTAGATGAGAAAAAAACAATTAGAAAAGATGACGATTCTGAAGAAGCAAAGAAAATAAGTTCGAAAATACGGAATAGCGAAAAAATATAAGTTCATTTAAAGTGGTGTAAGTAAAACCTATATACAATAAAACAATTATAAACATAGTCCAGTCAATGCAAGGAAAAAAAAAATACTTTTCGACTTATTCGAGAGTAGAAGTAGAAGTAAATTTTTCAACAAACAAACCCGCTTACAGACGACGGCTGTTCATGAATAACTCTGAAAATAAGTATTTTATAAAAATAAATCATTCGAAGTAAAATTGTAGCTAATAAAATAATCACTGGGTTTAAAAAGTCAGCAGACCCAATACTATCGTGAAAGGTTGGTTCTTCTTTTTCAAATGACAAAATCGAAAGTTTCAACGTGAAATATCCAAAATAAACAATGCATTTGTCAACACACTGTTCCAAAAAATGCATTTATGGAGGTTGTTTACATTGTTTGAAAGTTCAAAATAACGAGCCGTCCAACGGAGCGTGCGGTATATGTTACATTTTACATACATAGCGCCGTACATATTCTTTAAGGCTTTTTTTTATTTCGGCCGCATCTTCTTGAAAGCACTAATACAAAAAAAGCGTGTGCGTCTCAGGATGCACGACAGAAGTGATGTGAACTTAAACTAATCTAAGCGGAAAGCGGCGCGCTGAGGGTTAGAGTGAGAGAGGAGGAGTATCTACATCAGAAAGTTGTTAAACTAAATGAGCAATGAGGAGATTAGTAGGTGAAAAGGGTATTGGAGGGTGAAAAGAGACGGGAAGGGTGGTGAGAGTGAGGGTGAAAAGAGATGCTTTTACAAGCACATGTGAAAGTCGAAAGCTAACGCCATCGGTTCACAAATCTACGGCGATCTAGAGGATGAAAAGGGCATTGGAGGGTGTAAAGGGGATTCGAGGGTAAAAAGGTATTCGAGGGTGAAAGGGATTCGAGGTTGAAAAGGGGGATTTGAGGGTGAATGGCATTCGACGGTGATAATAAAGGATTGGTGGGTGATAATAAAGGATTGGTGGGTGATAATAAGGGATTGGTGGGTGTTAGTGAGGATTGATAGGTGAAAATATGGTTTTGGAGGGTGAAAAGGGATTCGAGGATGAAAAGGGGATTGGAGGGTGTAAAGGAGATTCGCGGGTGATAAGGGGATTGGTGGGTGATAATAAGGGATTGGTGGGTGATAGTGTGGGATTGATGGGTGATAATATGGGATTGGTAGATTTGAGATAGAGGTACTGTTTTCTCGTACTCGTGACTATGGTAAGCCCTATTCGTTTGTATTAACTAAGTTACCGCACTTGTATCATAAATAACAATTACAGAGTTATTTGTGAAAAACCGTCTCAAAACGTGGTTTTGCTTGTTGAAATATTAACGTTTTCACTCTCGAAGTTGAAAAGTCTATCTTTAGAAACTTGATAAAATAAAAGTTGCTTTTTATAACCAGGTAGGAATGACTCTAGCCCACCTGATGTTAGGATAAAGTCCAATCGCGAAGATAGCTGGTACAGCAGTTATAAACTGCAACACCAACCATTCTCACCTTACCGGTCTGCAGAAATGATTATTCACGCCTCTCTTAAAGACAACTAAACAATCTGGGGTATTGTAGGAAGTGGGGAACACCCGCGCTGGCAAAGAATTCCACTTGCGAATAGTACGACAAAGATATGAGTCACCATATTTCTTTGTTCGTGTAGGAATAGTGGCCACAGTAAATCAGTAACAACGTAGGACAGCGCGCGTGGTTCTCTGAAGAAAAGGTGATATATAAGGAGGGATAAGTGAGAATAACTCTTCAGAACACTCGCCGTGGTATAGTCGAAAGATGCGTTTAATGATGCCACATCGCAGCGTAATTGTGGAGACTCGAGTTTGTTAGTAACCTCTTCATCGCCAATGATGCGGGCAGCGTGCCTCTGTGACCTATCCAAGGCATCGAGTAAATACTCAGCGGAGCCATCCCAGAGGTGCAAGCAATATTGCACGCAGGACCACACTTGCGTTTTGTACAACAAGCACAGTTGATCAAGCGTGAAAACACGCCGCACCTTATTGAGGACTCCGAGTTTGCGTGAAGCTGTTTTGATCAGGTTTTGGATGTAGTCCTTAAGAAAGGTCTGAGCGAACTTCCATATCGAGTCTGGTGATGTTGCTCTGTAGCGCCAGTGTTGTGCCCTGAAAATAGGGAACGTGAAAGAATGGCGATGTTTTTGCCGTGAAAGCGCAAACCTGGGTTTTCTTGGCTCTCCAAATTCAACTCAACCAAATTTTTGATACCCCATTCAGAAATGAGGTCTAAAGCCTGATTGGGTTCAGCGACAAGATTTTCCCGTTTCTCCTTGGTTTCTACCTGTCCAGCCGCTGCGTGTCCAAAGTATCTCGCATGCACTGTGGACAGCGCGTCGCACTTACGTGTCGATCCTAAATAAACTGGACATAAAGACTCGTTTATGAGCTGTCTGTATGGAACATGTCGTTCAGTACTTCGGACTCATTGCTGTAGTGTGTAGGCCATGTGGAAGGAAAAAGGAGGCGTAGACAATCACCAACGCGATGGACGGATGCTGTAAAGGACACCTGCCAAGCGGACATACAGTTGTGAGATGTCTGTCTGAATGGCCAAAGATTGAACAACCATCATGGAGAACATGGAGTCCCAACACGCGAAATAGCCTCATGCTGTCACAAACCTCAGTCATAAGGAAACGAGGAAGAAGACTAATGCTCGGTAGTTGGAATTAAGAGTGACGAATATCTGTTTGTGATTAAGTGCCTGTGACGTAATGAATAAGAATGAGCTTAGTGTGTGAGGAAGGGAGCTTGTTAACGATACGATTTCTACCCGGTTTTGAAACCGGTCCTTACTAGGGATTGCAATTCCGCAAAACGGGATCCCGCGGCTTTTATTAATCTGCTGGATCCCGCAACTTCAAAGCGTGGATCCGCGAATATCGCAAATTAAAACTTT